CCCCGCCCTGCCCACCCCCACCCCGCCAGCAACTCAGCCGGCCCCTCCTACCCTTTGCTGCATGCTGCAACACCGCTAGTACACGGAGATCAGGACAATACAAGCTACATGGATGTCACGAGTGCCACACGCGACTGAACTCCTCACGCCAAGGAAGAACGTCGGAAAGGGTATATACGCACCCAACCACACACACAGCGCTGAATCCAACAAGCCGGCTTCCCAAGTCGGAAGCGATTAAGGCGCAAAAACATTGGCTGTCTATGGTCCGACACACCCTTCTTGTGATCCGTACGTACGGGATACTACTCTCCTACGCCCCCCCCCCNCCCCCCCCCCCCCCCCCCCCCTCTCTTCGAAATAAAACCACGTCCAATTGACACCCGTTCACCCATCATTGCACTCGTCCGTCATGAATCATTCTTCCTACCTCAGCACGCACAACACTTTACTACATGAAGACATGATCTAATAAAAAAGGTTCGCGCGGCCCTAGCTGCTGCTGCTGCTGCAACGCAGTCGCAGCGTCTCCCCGAAAGGAGGCAACAAAAGCCTTGGTTCTCTCCTGTAATGAAATGAAAAAATTAACCTTCCGAACCCATTTTCCCTAGTGAAGTTTTTTTCGCGCTCCTGCCCTTGGTAGACCATCATATATTTGCATACCACTGCACCACCATCTTTTGCGTATGGCCATCACAGGTTTTCTTGATATGTCAAAGCCGTAAGTAAACGTTGCGTGCTCTACCAACACACGCACAATCATGCACAGGACGAAAAGAAATCGGAGCAGACATTCTTGAGGAAGTCAGAGGCAGCAAGCAGCAGGTGGCCGGCTGGGTCGCGGGAGCACGTATGCATACTACTGTGAACCCTATACAAAAAGGAAGGGCCTACCGTATGTATGTGCATCATCACGAGAGCCATCACAAAACACAGAACGCAACACTCAAACGAGACAAACAACGCACACAACACAAGCAGCAGCAGAGCCAAAACGAACACCAACATCCAAACCCGACAACATTAGAAAACAAGGGGACGACCAACATGGATTTTCTAGCTAGTTTAGGAGCGAGGCCAAACTCTAGTTAGACTGCTGTTATCCATCCTACCTAAGCGGTGCAGTGCCACAATCGATAGCACGCGCGCGCCTACGGCCGAAACTGGCCCAACCGGCGAAGTACCAAACATGTATTTTGTGCAACCCCTGACAACGATGGGTGATCTCCTGCTTCACGGGGAAACCGAGACACTTCTGATGATTCAAGCTAACAACAATACTTCCATGTAAGGACCAACAATCATCAATTTTTTTATCCCCACCACAACCGTCGCACGATCGCATGCATGCGAGCGCAACGCCGGCCTTCCAGGATTTTTTTTTTTCCGAACGTGCAGCTAGCTACTAAAGCTCTGCTTGGCAAGATTGGTCGGTCACAACCACCACTCGTGGATGACATCGTGGACGGCACCTACCAAGTTCGTCGTGGAAGCGCTCTCGCTTGCTGTGTATGTTCTCTCTAGGCAAAGCACCCCCCCTCCCCCCTCCCCCGCCCCGCCAACACCGTCTAAATGTTGATGCTTACCAAGAGCTATTATTCTATCTACGAAAAACCACACAAGGCATCATATTTTTCCGCAAACGACCAAATATCTCACCATCTTTTTCCTAACCCAATCGCTCCCAGACGAATGTGAGAGAGAGAGAGAGAGAGAGAGAGAGAGAGAGAGAGAGAGCCAGCGAGTAACGAAGCCAGAAAAGGGGCTCTCTGAGGCCACGTGACGTCATGAAATATCCCTCACATGTCCAAGTCCATCTCGAACACGTACTCGGACGACATGCGCCTCTCCCGCCGGTGCTCCAGCGAGATTGCATCATCATCATCATCATCATCATCATCATCTCCCTCCTGCTCCTCGTCTGTGTTGCCGTCGTCAGGAACGTGGGCATCAACAGACCCGTCCTCCGTCAACCCTTCCGAGACACGCCTGCTACCCAGCAGCCCTTGCGCGCCCCCGCCGCCGTCGAGGGCGCCAGCGGCTTGCTGTCGCTCCCGCTCCTCGTGGTGAATCGAGTTCCTCCGCAGGACGCTCTCTTCCCAGATGAGGATGTGCGGCGGGACTCCTCCCTCCCCGCGAGCGTCGTCGTCGTCAGTAGGCTTGGTGCTCGGCCAGCAAGGATACCAGGCGCCAGCGTGCGTCGCCGCCTTGCCCACCCCGGTGAGCGCGCCGCCGCCATCAAACATGTAGGCGTCATCGTCATCGTGGTGGCCGCCGCCGAAGCTTGCGTGTTTTCGCGGTTTCTGCTGCTGGCCCGGGCTGGGAGGGATGTCGATGGGTCCCGACGAGGAGGACTCTCGGTGCCTTGCGGACCAGGAGAGTTGCCGTTGCCGTTTGCTGGGAACGGTCTCTTTTACGGCCTCAGCCTGGCCGCCGCGTCCGCCTCCGTGGCTGCTGCTGCCGCTGCTGCTGCTGCTGCCGCTGCTGCTGCTGCTGCCCCTGGTTCTGAGGACGACAGCGGCAGGAGTATCTTGCTGGTCCCAACCACGATCTGCGTGCCGCCCTGGCTGTTGTTGTTCACATTCCCAGTGTTGTGCGTCCCGCCACTCTGCCGCCGGGAGGGATCGCGACACGACCCTGCTGTGATGGTGATAGTTCTGCTGCTGCCGCTCAGCAGCAGCGGGCTCGGTGCTCGTGCGGCTCCGGGTGATGCTCAACCGGCTACCACTGCTGCTGCCGCTGCCGGCGCCCGAGCTGTCGATGATTAGCGCCGCTGGGCTGCGCCGCGGGGACACGGGGGTCGTCGCGGCTGCCGTGGGAGAAGAGAGTCCTTGCGCTTCTTGCTCCAATTCGTCCCCGAAATGTTGCTGCTGCTGCTCCTCCGCCGCCTTCAGCTTCTGCATATCGATGTTCCCGCTGCGAGGTCTCCGGGTGTGGCTGGACATCCGCTCGCGGCGGGTGAGGAAGGCGGGCTGGCACGCAGAAGCGTGTGTGTGTGTGGGAGCACACGAAAATTGGGGGGAGGGAGGAAGAAGGAATGATCTTGATGTTAAAACGCCCAGGGGAGAGAGCGGATGCAAATTCGCGGTCACAACAAGTCATGGCCATCTGGCGCGCTGGATCACCATTGAGTGGAGCCCCGAACGGGTGCAACGCTTCGAGAGGGGATTGAGCGAGGTATGCCAGGGGAATGCGTGCACCTTGGGCACCAGAGAGTCCCCGCTATACCGTCTTACGTCTCTCACACACAGAATCCGAGTTCCTCGAGAACAATGGGCGGGCGGGTTATCTCGACGATTGAAAAGTTGAGGAGCCGGCATCGAACGGGGCAAAGCGAGCGAGGCGCGCCAGCTCTTGAAGCCACAGACTCACCATGGCAATTTCACTTCCGCGCGCGCCGTGGCTGGGTAGTTCGCCTGATGCTTCTCGTCCTTGCGCGCCTTTCCGTTGCGTCTAACGGTACTTTGCTGCGAGTTGCGCCTCGCTCTCGCGAAAAACACAAGGGTTGTGGCATCCGAGGAAGGAGTGAGGAATGACAGGCTTGAGAGAAAGAATTGACAGGATTGGGCCCCTTGGTACCCCCATGAATCACGGAGCCCTCGCGGTTGGACCAACGCCGACGCGACGAGAAGTATCCGCGAAATGGCAACTGCTGCAGTCGACAGGCAGGGAGATACATGTCGCCATGCCCCCGCCGCATCGTGCTTAACACCCTGGGAGCAGCCATTGTCGTTACCGCGTGTTTTTTCTGTAAGACCGTCGAGGACTCTAACTTCAACAAGCTACGCCCGAAGGTGTGATGTTCCGATCGATGCAGGAGCCAGTTTTGCTTGATGTTCCGATGCAGCGCCTAGATGCATGCTGAACCCTGATGCTGTTGACTGCTGCTGCTGTGTCATCTTGCCGCCATCATTATCCCGCCGTTGCAGCTGCTCATCGCTGACATACTGAACACTTTCACACGTGTCAGTTGTTCGTTGATTTGGCTTTCTCCGCCCACTGCTGTCAACAGCGCGGTCGGCAAGCAACATGAAAAATCGAATGTGTGTCGGCAAGGGCAGAAATGAGATCCTCTGGCCCGAGGTTACAACGCGCCTCTGTTGTAACCTGTCGGTGACCGGGGCATGGGATCAAGGCGTCCTGCTACAGTATGCGGTCTGAGCTCCGACGAGCGGTGTTGTATCGTATACCTAGGAAAGCGAACCAACAGTAGCGCGTGTAAGAGTGCGATGTATGCTATGTCGACTTCCACGACCAAGCAGGACGGTGCGAAAAACCGACCCCGTGCGCGCAAGGTGCAGCGCTCAAGGCATATGATCTGTTCACTTGAATGTGTAGAAACAACCCTTCTCTTGTTATGGTATAGAGCGTCTGGGCCGTGGAGCAGTCGAGGTGTGAAGATCGATTTAGCGGGTGCGTGGTGATCGGTAACCCTGCTTGTACATTATTACCCTGAGTGGGGTGCAGTTAGGTCCGTAATCAAACACGATCTCCATCCGTGCTTCTTTCTCTACTTGCGAGAGCTCTTGTCGCATTAAAAATCGAAGGCAAAGCACCGCAGGAGGCGTTGGTAGGGGGAAGCTCTTCTGTGTGACCACGGGTTGGAGTAAACAGCGCTGATGCTGTGAGCCCTGATTTGAAAAAGAATATAGCTCGCTTCGCACACCCCAAACTATTGTTGTACCTCATGAGAGAGGGAGAAAACAAGAGCGCTGGAGCGTGTACGTGTGTCCGCCCGTCCTGTGGCACGGAGGAGTCCGATACCCGAGTTTCTTGTTGTTCGTGTGTCCCATCCCTCTTGCCTCTTGATGATGTTTACAGTTGGTGCAGCAGTAGCAGCTGAAAGAGTCCGACTCCCCCCACCTCCTGATGCTCTCAGCGATACCCGAGACTTGCTACACCAAACGACAAACCTTTCACGTGATGTCACGAGCGTGATCATCGGCCACCACCGAGCACGCACCCCTCACCCGGGCTCACAACAATGTTGCCGTAACAGAAGCTGGCCTTGGCCACCCCTTCAAGCCCCGGCGCTGATGCGGGTGGGGGGGGAGATCGCGAGGGCAGCAGCAACAGCAACAACGCCGATGCCGCCGTCGACAATATAGCGGCCGATGCTGCCGTCGAGAGCTTAGCGCCGGACGGGGAGCAGCTGGTGTCGTTGAAGCCGGGTGACAACATCGGACCCTATCGCCTCCAGGTGCGCGCGGGGCACCGGCGTGCTGGTGCATGCTGGTACCGCAAAAAACGCCAGGCGCCTGTGTAGCGTGCTACGGTGTATGTACAGCAGTTGCCGCTCGCCTTTGTCTGCAGGAGAGAGGCGTACAGGTTGGTCACATTTGTAGGTTGTGCTGTGTAGGTCGCCATTTTTCTTGTGTCCGCGGAGCGTGTGGCCGATCCTTGAACACTCCAGCCTTGGCAATAATTGCGTTGCATCTCGCCGCGCGGCATGCTTGCTACCTTGGTCGCAGCTAACTGGTGGGGAATTGGTGGTCTCAATACCGGGATTATGATACCACCTTGCCCCCCCGGCACCTACCCACGGTGAGCTGACCCTCAGGTCCACCGGGTGGTGTTTTCGCTGTTGGGGTCAAAAGTTCACGTCAGGGATGAAGAGGACTGCTGCTGCTGTGTCTTCCTGTATCACCCGTTTTTTTTTTTCTCTCGACCATAGTCGTTAGGTCTCACCGTTGTCTACCCCCCTCCTCCTTCCCGCCCCCTCGAACCGTCCGTCAACGCCAACTGCCACAGGAACACCTTGGTTACCTGGGCAGCCGGCCGGTACACGAGTACGACCCGGCCTTCCACCCCCACGCGGCCAAGCGTGTGGGGTTCTCCCCTCGCGGCATGCTCTCCCCTCCCCCCCGCCCCCCCGCCTGCCCCCCGACACGCCAGGGGGCGGCTTCGCGCCCGTCGAGTCGTCGGAACGGGGCTGGGGGTGTGTGTGAGGGGGGCGACGCGTTAGTATTAAAGGGGGGGGCAGAGGATAATACTGCTGAGGGGTCTTACAGGCTCAAGAGGCGGTTTGAGGGTGGCAGCCACGGGGAGGTGAGAAAGGACGAGAGTGAACCCAGACTTACGGTGGCCAGACTGGCGGCTGGCGGAACTTGGGGAAACGTGCATTGGTTCGTCCTGTTTCTTTCTCCGTGTGAGCAGAAGGTGTCTGAGCTATGCGTTGCGGGTGGCCTAGCACTACTATCGGGTTTCTTATCGATAGGGGGTGTGGGGGGTGGGCAGGTGCAGACGACGTGCGTTCATTTGTCGGCTCTTCGGCTGCAACATTCATACAAATAGATCAATACACACACATTTGTCGATAAATACACTCCCACATGTATCGTTCTTGGTTGCATTGCGATCATTGCTACACCGACGACAACGACAACGGTGGCAGGTCTACGCGTGTTCCCGTGAACGTGTTCTCCTCGCGCAGGTTACCGTAAATGACACAAGGTAGCACATCCCCTGGACCGATTTTCAAATCTCGATTTCTCAACAACAGAAAAAGTATCGTTTCGTTTATGCATCCTCTTCGTCGTGGAGTAATCGAGCTTTGAAAATTGGTCCAGGGGGTGTGTTATCTTGTGTCATATACGGTACGTTGTTAGGCTATGGTGGTCCCCCCACCTCTCTCGCCTCAGCCCCTATCGAGCCGCAACTCTGTGGACCTAAGCCTTTGTCTGCGGGTTCTTCCACTCCCCGCGGATTTCATCTCGTTCCAAGGATGATTCCCTTCCCCGTGTGGTCGCGTGCCGACCGGTTTTTCCTTGCACAACTTCGCCACTCGTCGTGTGCGTGTGCGTGCGTGTGCGTGTGCGTGTTTCATAAGCACCGACCGCGCTCACCGGCTTACCAATGAACAGACGTTGTTTTCAGCACCGAAAGGGCGGGACGACCAGACTGTGCACACTTGCTACAGGCAGAAGTCGTGCATTGTGTTATGTGTATGTGTGTGGGTTGGCCCTCCTGAGGAAACTCCGTGTTGGGCCGACCTTGTGCTTACTACTTCTGCTTTCGTTCTTGTTGTCTTGTTTCGCGCAGGTATGGAGGGGGGTGCGGTTAGGCCCGGATGGCAAGCCGTCCTTGGCGCACGGCTACGTTCTGAAGCGCATGCTTCTGGAGAAGGGGCGGCACGTGCTGCAGGCCGGCATAAGGTGAAAGCTAGCTAGCTTTTGCAGCAGCCACATGTACATACCCAGATCAGGGTTTACCCGTCTCATTTTTTTTTTTTTTTCTAAGCAGAGACGATGACAGGCTCGGCGGCGTCTGCGCACGATGGCCGGGTTCAAGTTCTGATTTTGTTTTTTTCCACGCATTGAATACTTTGTTTCCGTGGTACTACGTGATTTTTGTTTCGCCCACAAGACCGGGGTCTGGACGGCCCTTTCTTGCAGCGTCTTTGCGCAACCGCGACAGTTGCTAGTCGTCTCTATCCGGGTTCAGGCCGGCGGTGGGTGTGATACCTATCTACGTTCCTCGTTTGTGGAGTCGATAGCCAAAGGTGTTGTTGCTGCTGCCGTTGTTGTCGTTATTCTGCTGGTGGTGGTGTTGTGGTAGCTGGTATTGGTGTCGCTGACATGTACCTCACGTGAGCTGAGAACGTCTCGCCCCGTGGCCGCAAGGAACGCTAGACAAGACCCTGCATAGAAAGAAGCGGAAACCCAAAGATGCGCCTGCTGCTTCCTGCAGTTGTTAGTACATGCCGCTCCCTCTCCAGCGTGTATCTTGCAAGCGGAGACGGGTTGGGAGAGGGGTAGCAGGGAAGAGCAATCACCAGTAATAAGAAATGAACTGTGGCCAAAAAATGCCACATGGAAAGCGAAGGATCGGCAACATATTCCCCCGCAATTTTTCAACCGTTTAGGATATATCCTACACCTTACAGCAGTTCCGAATGTTCGATCGATGCCAGAAGTGTTTTTTGTTAGAAGGAGCACGACGGTGTGTCCCTTCGTCCGGAAAGGGATACGTTCTCGGTGGCGAGATCCCACGAAATCAATATGATCCCCGTCCTCCCCCCCATCCCCACCGCGCTACCGCGGAGCCCCCCGACGTTTGTCAAAACTAACACCGCTGGCGCTCTCATGCTCCATGGGCCAACATAACGTATTCGCAGGGAGATCTACTTCGGAGAACTCCTGCAGAGCCTGGGAGGGTCACCGCAGATAGCAAGGTACGTGGAACACCTGTACCTCTTCGGCGACCACGAGCGGGGCCGCTTCGGGAGGGCCGGGGAGGAGGCGCCGGGGGCGGGGGAGGGGATGGGGGGGGCGTGGGACGCGGGAGAAGCCGTACCGGTGAGATCGATATATACGTACGTACCGTAGTCTTCGCTTAGCGACACCGTAACGTTTTTTTTTCCGCAAGAACTTAACCAGTGTCGAACTTTTGTGTGCACGACAACCTTTGCATCTGGACGGAGAGGTCTGGGGCGATCGGTAGTGAACACGGTGGTTTCTAACCAACTGGCAGCGCTTCGTTTGCAATCCGCATGTTGATACGAACCCCTTTCCGCCCGCCTTCGGCAAAGGAGGAAGGAACGATTGGCTATCGGTGGTCTGTCCTATGGGGACCATGCTCCATAGTCTACATGAGAGTACGTCCCCCCTTCCGCTGCTCGGTTTCTTGCGTTCGCACACCACTGCCGACGCCTGCCACGCCCCTGCCGGCGTGCCGTGTTTCACCCCCCACAGACGGAGATGTGGCTGGTCTTCCGAGACGAAGGCATGTCCCTGCGGCACTACCTCTACACCGAGCGAGAGGCGGAGGGGTTCGTGCTCCACGGGCAGAGTTATTTCTGGAGGGACATGCGGCTTGACCCCGAGGGCCCCGAGGTAATCAAGAAGCCTTGTCTGTCGCGAGGCGATGGAGGTGTCTGTTCGTCGGGTGAGAGGTTTCGGTATTGGATGACGGCCAAAATATGGCTTACCGTGCGGGTGGGCGCCGGGCCAAAAGAAGGTGTGTAATAAATCTGGTTTACCCGGCCAACAGAGGGTGTTGCGTGCCGGTGGGCGCCGGACAAAATAAGGTGTATGGCGCCTGGTTTACTCAGCCACGGCAAGGCATCGCATCGGATGTTCTGGTAGTGCGACGGTCGAAAGGAGAAACGTTATTGTTTTACCATCTGGTGGTGTGGCGGGGTCTGAGACTCAAGACTCAAGACTCAACAGCAAGTCGACGTGACACAGATCAGTGGCGCGCTAACCTGGGTTCGTTACATGATACGTGTTGACGGTCCCTTCGAACGATCGAGTTACAGCTGACTGCTTGAACGTTTCCGACGACGTTTTTCTCGAACGCTGACCTTGCCCGCGTCGTTCGCAGGCCTTCCTCCGCACGACACGCGCACAATAACGTCACAGCCATCATGCATTTTCATATTTTTCATGCAGTTTGCTCTGGTGATGAAACAAATCCATCCCGAGCACAGTACAGCACAACTCTCACGCGTATTTATTTTTGTTCTAGGTGGTTATTTTCAACTAACCACAAAGATATTGGTACCTTATACTTAATCTTTGGTGGTTTTTCTGGGGTTTTAGGTACTGCGATGTCTGTTCTTATCAGGCTTCAACTTGCTAGCCCAGGTAACCAGTTTTTAGGCGGTAATCACCAGTTATACAATGTTTTTGTAACAGCTCACGCTTTTTTAATGATTTTTTATGGTTTGTTTTTCAAGTAAAACAGTATCCTCGAAAACTTTTTCAGTTTTTTTTTAGTATTTATTTACCTTTTTAAATCTATCTTCAGCTGCAGATAACTCTAATTTAGCGCTACGTACTTTTAAAACAGCTTTATCAAAATCTTCTTTAAGGCTTTCAAACTTTTTTTTGAGCTAACTCGAAACTAGCTAAGAAGTTTACTGATTCTTCTTTTAATTCAATACCTGTTAAATTTACTTGAGCATTTTTAAAAAAATTTCAGCAGCATCCAGTTTAGATTGAGCCCTATCCATAGTATTTTTAGCTTTATCAAAAGAAACTTGCGACTTTTCTAATCTTAAATCAGCCCTATCTGAAATATCTTGAAAAAATTTCAGTTCATCTTTTGCATTTGCTAGAATAGTTTTACCTCTCATAAATTCTTGTACCGCTGGTATAACTTCTCCTTCCATTGCCATAAACTCAGCCTTAGCATTATCTGCTATTGCATTAGATCTATTTAGCAATTTTGCACATGCACACGCGCAGGTTATGGAAGTCTATCCTGCGCATAATACGTCACAACTCTCACGCGTATTTATAGTTTGCATGTTCACACGCGCAGGTTATGGAAGTCTATCCTGCACATGATACGTTTACAACTCTCACGCGTATTTATAATTTTGCGTATGCATACGCGCAGGTGATGAAGTCTATCCTGCGGCAGATCTTGGAGGGCACCCGCTTCCTCCACGAGACGGGGGTCGTCCACAGGGACCTCAAGCCTTCCAACCTTATTGTCTCCCTTTCACCGGTGGCGGCGGCGGCGGCGGCGGCGGCGGCGGCGGCGGCGACGACGACAACGACGCGTCACGCGCCCCCCCCCGGCCCCAGGCCGGGATCCGGCGACCCGACAGGGGACGGGTACGAATCGTCCCCGCGGGGGGACAGATACCAGTCGTCCCCGACCGAGACCACGCCTGTGAGGGACTGGGGTAGCGACAGCAGCAGTAGCAGCAGCAGCAGCAGCGGCGGCAGCAGAGGCAGCAGCGGCAGCAGCGGCAGCAGCGACAAGCCCGAGAAGAGGAGGAGGCGGACCGGCGGTAGTTTCGAGTCGGCAGACGTGGGGGGCGAGCACGAACAAGGGTCCTCCTCCTCTACGTCGTCGTCTGCTAGGAGGACGCGGTTGTTGCTGAGGGTGGCGGACTTCTCGAGCGCGGTCGACGAGGGCGCCATGCCGACCGGGCTGTACGGGGCTGAGGGCCCCGGTCAGTCGGAGGAGACGCTACAGTACGCTCCGCCGGAGGTGCTCTTTGACCCCGAGGTACCAACAGACGGGAATCCTAGAGACATCGTCCCTGCCCCCCTCTCTGATCTCAACCAAGCGTATTACGCCCCACTAGTTGCTTGATGTGCGCGGGTCCGGCGCGCTCTCTCTTCGTGCTTATCGTGGTGCATCACCATATGCACGTCGCAACTATTCTTGGCGGCGATGGTTCTGATGCAGGTGACGCGATGCTTCTTTATCACTGTGCATGTTCGCGGTAACGTTTTCTTTCGGTGACGCTTCTGAACCTGTTGAGGAGTTGCGTATCGCCGTGCTTACCACGACCATGCTCCTTCTTCCAGTGACGCTCCTGATGCTCGACCACGATTTTCTCTCGTCGCTTACCTGGCGATTTGGACAACATTTTCATTTTTTTTCCGTCCGTCCTCCGCAGACGGCGTACTCTGCTCAGCGGCCGGAATCGTACGACATGTGGTCGATCGGGGTGATCCTCCTCGAGCTCATCCTTGGCACACCAGAGGTACGCCAATAATGGTACCTTTTTTAGACGCTTAAGACATGTGGCGTCCACGTCAGCTGGAATCAGTATGGGTGTCAGAAGGCACACTGAACAGAGCTAGGAACGGTCTCTTCTGTGGATACTACATAGGGCGGGGTGATGAGCCGCTGGGTAGCGACCCAATACCTTGCAGTAGTCTTATCTGCGATGCTGATGGTGCACGAATCCCGACGCACAGCAGCATGAATCGCTTGTGGTGTAGCTACGCGTGCACCAGAGGGACAGGCTGCAGGGGTGCGACGGGCGCGACGATTGTTGTATGATGTGCGGCCACGTTCCAAATTTTGCACTTCACACTTTTCATGCGGTTTTTTCTTTCCCGTTGATGCACATGCACACACCCAAGAAGAAACAAAATGTGAAATCTTCCCGCTGTGCGGAGGCAAAGACGCACATCACGGAGGCACGCACGCGGCATGCACCTGGCGGCGAGCGCATCACATATCACACCGTCGAGGAGCACGACCAGCAGCGTAGACATAGGATCTGTGATAGGGCAGATGGCAAACATTGCGTCAGGCTTACAACTTGCCCGCCACATTCGTCGAGTGAAAGTAAGCAGTCTACACATTGTGTCATACATCACGGGACATCACTACATATGTACACAGCACCAATAACAGCAAAGCCGTTGATGCTCATGACTTTGATGCGAGAAGCAACAGCAGACAGGGCACGGATTTTCCGAACACAGGCAGTAGCGCGGCGCAAGTTACGCACCCTGAACCGATCCCGCGGGGAACCATCCTGATAACGGACAGCAGCAGCAGTAGTAGCCCCTTACGCCTCTTTGGATTCTCCCGATGTTAGGTGCGATCTCTGGACTTGGGAAGGTGTGTTAAAGATGGCGCCCGCACTTCAGAACCTCTAGATTCGGCCGAGGCTGGGTTTCTTATTTTGCTGATCATCCTCTTGTGGGCTACAAATGGCCGCTATATAGGTTTTAGTGAGGGGTTCTTAACCGAGCTCACAAATGGTGCTCAAGTTCTTAGCTTGTGATTTTTTGCGAGTCTCAATTTCTCAACTGCTAAGTTCTCAAGTGCGGGCGCTATCTGCTGTGTGTTGTTCGTTTGTGATAATCGGTCTTCTGTTGTTTTGGAAGCAGTCGGTTTTGCACCACTCAACATCAACACCACCCGCCAGGTTACACACGGCGCACAGACAGGTCGTACAGACCCGGCCCCTCGTAGTTTTCGTAGATAGCTGGTCTCGGATCAGTGTCCTGTTGTTCTCCTTTTGCTGGTGTGGTGTTGTCCTGCTGGGGTTTTGACTCTACCGCGTGTTCTGTGTGTGTGTGTGTATGCAATCTCCGATAGCTGGGGCATATTACCTCTCCACAACTCCTGGGCATGCGGGGATGCGATCTCCTACGAAAGTGGGCCACATATGCCTGTGAAGCACGGCCATCTGTTGCCGAAGCACGACCAAACCGGTGCGACGAAGAGCGCGTAGCTTTTCTTCTTGCTCAGAAGTAAACAGATCGTCAAACGATGCCCTATTGGTCTCGTTATGGTCCGAAAGGTGCGATAAATATGCGTCACGGGAATCAAACTTCGGGGCCCTGCAACACGCGGCGGAACTCAGGCCGTTTTTTGGAGCCTTTTTTTCCCTCCTGGGGATGAAGGGAAAAAAGGTCGCTCGCTTCGCTCGCCCCGCGGCTCATTACGATAACGCAACAACAACAGCAACAACAACAACAACAGCAACAACAACAACAACATAGACACAAACATTGTCTCGGCGCTCCTACCGCCGAACACACGTGTTCCATCCGAATATCTACGACACAAGGTGTTCACGGTGGACCAGCGCACCCGAGCGATCCTGGACCGAGACCTGGCCTTCGAGGATGACGAGGTTAGGGCTAAGGCTCATCTTCTTGCGGCTATGGCGGACATGTAAGTACCCCCCCCCCCCCCCTCCTATCCCCGACGGTGGACACGCGAGGGAAACCCCGTCGCCCCCTCTCGATTTCTCTCGAGAACCCCAACTCCGTGGCGGTAAGCGTCCGTATGGGAACGGTTTCGACAGCCACCACAGTAGTACCGTGGATGCTGAAACGGTTGCGATTGTAAGCTCCCACTGTAGTACAACCGAAGTGCCTGGATGGAACAAGGCGATTTCTGCTTCAACGTGGCACACAATCATGCCCCGCTGGTGTCGTACACAGCGGTAGTGTGGTGCTTCAACCACGCACCAAATGCTTGCTGTACTTGTGCAGGCGCATCTAATCCAGATCCGGCAGTTTAGCCGAGTGATGCTCCAACCACACACCAATGGCCGCTGTGCTTGTGCAGGTGCATCTACTCCGGCCCCGGCAGCCACGACGGCGAGGGCAGCAGCTCACCCCTGGGGGACACAGCGGTAGTCAACGAGAGGTGCACGCTGGCCGACCTGGGGGGTGCGGTGCACACGCGAGATGCGCTGGATATCGGGTTTCCGGACCAGGTGTGGCGTTTTGTGGTTGATGGGACGGTGACTCGGGGGGTGGGGGGGGGTGCCGTGGTTGTTTTCGGTATCTCTTGGTTCGTGTATTTTTTGTGTTTGAGTGAAGGCGTACCGGCGCCCCTTTCCGCCCATCTTCCCTTCCAGCTATGCGTGTTGCCAACCGCAACACACGCAAGTGAGCCCATATCCCTTTTTTCTTATCACTCAAACATTTCTGCTACCCCTGGGCGCTACGAACAGTGGGGGCTGGATCTCCTGTGGCGTCTGCTGCGGTGGGACCCGATGAGCCGCATCTCTGCGTCCGACGCCCTGGAGCACGCCTACTTTGTCGGCCCTTACCGAAGCCGCCGGGACGGCACGTTGCACGCCACCCAGAGGTAAGTCACAACAGTCCAGCAGATGTCCTAGTTCAGTTACGGTACGGTATACGGTAGGTGCCAGCCGTCGGGACGGCACGTTGCACGCCACCCAGAGGTAAGTCATGATATTCCAGGAGTGGTCCCGGTATCATGCGGTACGGTATACGGTAGGTGCCAGCCGTCGGGACGGCACGTTGCACGCCACCCAGAGGTAAGTCATGATATTCCAGGAGTGGTCCCGGTATCATGCGGTACGGTATACGGTAGGTGCCAGCCGTCGGGACGGCACGTTGCACGCCACCCAGAGGTAAGTCATGATATTCCAGGAGTGGTCCCGGTATCATGCGGTACGGTATACGGTAGGTGCCAGCCGTCGGGACGGCACGTTGCACGCCACCCAGAGGTAAGTCACAACAGTCCACTAGTGGTCCCGGAATACTGCCGGTGTACTGTAGGTGCCAGCCCCTTGAACCAGCAATATAGCGGGTAACCGGCATTATTCAGAGTATGAAAGAAGTTGGACGTGTTCCGTCTGTTCCAGACGACTTCACCGGCATTGTACAGAGCTTTCGGCATCATTGCGGGACCTCTACCGTACTGCTGTACCGTAGTACGGCAAGATTCCGCACCCAAGACCATGGCAGCTAAGGAGATGAGCGTTCGAGGCTTGTCGAAACCTTAGAGCTTGAACTAACCCGGCCCCATGCTAAAAGCCCATGTATGCTGTGGTCAGATAGCCCACGGTTGTAATAGACAAAGGCCAAGGTTGTTCAAGAGTAGCATGTTTCTCAAGTGCGCGCGCTTGGTGAATCGCCAAACGGTTTACTTTTGTTGATGAGCTGAAGCTCCCTCTTCGGCTGGATGTTCCTGAGCTTTGACTTGATTATGTTAGGGTCTCGCCTCCCGTCTGTAGCAGCGGGGACCGCTCTACCCTCTCCTCCCACCGGTCTGTCGGGCGGCAAAAAAACACACGGGTCGTGTGTAGATAAATCGGAGTGGACAAAAATGTACCCTGTCGCCGCAACGTCAAAGCACGTTCACGAAAGAGCCGACAACCAATCCAGTACCCTTCGCAGGTGTTTTTTCGATCAAGTGAGCATGTCGGATACATAACGCATGAAGTCAAGGAAATTGGATTAGGGTTAGGGATAGGGCCTGCGTAGCCCCTCCCTATTCTATTTCCGCATAGTCTCCATGTTCTCGGGAAGGCGGCCCCAACAATCACGAAGTTCTTTTGGCTTTCCTTGTTTGTTGTATCGACCATGTTCCGACGCATCACCAATCGTGCGCCGGCGGGGTGACACAGGGACGCGATGGCGTACGACGGCTGGTTCACCGGGTCCAAACGAATCAGCCCCACAGCATTAGCCCCCCGGTCGCCGCCTTTCCCGCACGCCGCGGTCTGGGGAGCGGCGACACCACCCGGAGGTGACGGTTTCAACGACAANGGGGGGGGGGGCTCGTCCCCTCTGCGGATCCCCCACGTACGGCGACGATGGGCGAGGCGAATGGGTCGTTCACACTGGACCATCAGCACACGCTGAACCTGAAGTACACTTGTCCCAAGGTGGGTGGGTCCTGTAGGGGGGCACGTCGGTAGGGAACTATGGGGGGTGGGGGGTGGGGGGGCTCATGCCGTAGTTGTTATACCATTGACATCGCCTCCCTACAAAAGTCGGGACGAAGCACGCTGAGTTCTCACCGGACCAGGCTCTCACACACCAAGCCCGAAGAACCGTGAGGCATAATTCGGCGGGTGGCATGGAGAGTGCGCTGCGACCTGCTGAGGCGGTTCGGGGGGGGGGGGGGGGGG